TGACACTAACAACAATATGATCTGAGAGGTCTATTTTATTTATAACCACTTATTTCAACTAAGAGATAGAAGAAGTCCCAGATAGGAAAGTACAGTAAATCGACATATTCAGACAAACCCAATGTCTAAAACGAAGGTTCTGCTCCCTTTCTTTTCATAAACAACACCTGTAGCAGAACCACGTCAAACAGAGGCGAGACGCAATCCCTGCTGCTCAGCTTGCAAGAAACCAATGGAGGGGCACAAAAATGTCTTGGATTGCCCCAAAAACAGCCCTTCAAATTAGTGCATTACCATGTAAATAATTTCAATACAGCTAGTACGAATCTTGGAATCTGCAATTCTTAAAATGTGCATCTATACTGCACACTCTAATATTCGTATACACTATTTAATATTATAATTACCTATGTCAAATATTCGTCTTCCTTTTCTCTGAATGTTTTTGGGAATAATATAATAGGGACATGCAAGCAAAGGAATTATTTTTCTTTCTAGATAACCATGTACCAAATGGGTAAACTTTCTACGCTTCTTAGAAATCTGTTGAAAAGTACAAAGAGACCAAAGTTAGAATGTGCTCTCATGGGTACCGAAAACATAACAAGACAGATTTATCGGGTGATGTCTATAAAACTCGGCGACGAATTTTTGCTTACCGTTTCTTATTTTCTGTCCCTCTTTATTTTCCAGCAGGCAGTCGCAAAGACCATAGTTCTAAACAGGTCTAAAGCCTGGATGTAATCGCCATTTTGGGTTTGTTTCGTAGTCGGTTTCTAGCAAATATCTACTTTCTTCATTAAAATCAGAATAGTTGCAACTTTCAGAGTATTCACTACTAYAATCAGAAAGAATTGACGTGGAATAAAAGGTTTATACGACTACAGTATTCAAGCGATGCAACTTGTTTTCTTATGCTTCTCAATAGTCCAGTCATCCTGTGGTTTAGGTTGGAACAAATTGCAACAGGATTTTTCTCAATGCTGTTTGACCCGTTAGGGTAAGTTAATCAACATACTAAAAGTCCCAAAAAGTCCCTTTGGTGGAACATTCCTAAAAACGGCTTTTCATATTATCAAGAATTACACAGGAAGCTTAATAATGGGAAAATATCAATTTCCCAAACAAATATATGTAAACTTGTTTCTTTCTCTAATTTTACATTGTGCYGAGGCACGTATATCAAAATTAATATAATCTTGTCAATATTCAAACAAAAAAGATAATAACTGGACAGTTTTTTTCATTATATGCAAATGTAAATACCACAGGAAGCCCACACTTTGTAAATTTATTATCTTGTTATAAAACATAGAAATTTAACAATATATCATTCTAAAAACCCCTATCATTATCAAAACATCTTTGCAAACATTTCTGAATGCATTCACCACCTATAAATCCAACTGATGTGACCCTGACAGGTACCGCATGCAGAAGAACAATCCAAGTTATACTTTTTACAAGTACATCCATTATTGTTGCAGTTTGACTTGGAATTGCATCTGATTATCTCAAGAAGTGCGTTGTGAGCTGCTGGACGATC